CACAGCAGGGCAAGATCAAGGAAGCAAGAATTACACACACTTCAGTCAAGTATCTTAAAACTAATTTAGTACTGGGGTAAATATAGCATCTTGGAAACAACAAACCATAATGCTTGGAAGTTCTCTCTTTCCATTTTATGTAAGCCCTTGCAGGGAGCTAAAATAACAAAAAAGTAATTTGTTCCTTCAGGGGAAAGGGATAGGTATCCAATGGTTATGTTCTGGGACATATAGCGTGCATTTTGTTCTTATATTATTCCTTCTTGATTACTGACTGGAAGCCCTGTAGACAAAGAGATTGGTAGATGAATAGAAGGATTTAGATTAAGAATGGCTTTCACTCATACATAGAAAGTGATTTATAGGTTAATAATAGCCCTTAAACGTATCCAAGGTGGTAAAATGTTTTCAAGTTATTGTAGCAATTCAGTAAGTAAATAAGTGATAGAAGGAAGGATCTTTGCATTAGGGTAAGTGCACAATATGTTGGCCCCTGTGGTAGGGACCTTAAAGGATGCTCCCATGCCCTCTTACTTGGGACAAACTTTGAAAGGTCTCAGTTCTGCTTTCTCTCTGTTCTATGACTGTCAGTGTATGGTAAACACTGGACTTTTTTAAATGTTTGTATGATCAAAGTGGGGCTCTCCATGCCTTCTTTAGTACAAAGATTTGAATAGTTTCTTGAAATCTCACAGCCTGGCCATCTAGTAAGAAGGCTGCAAGCCTGACCAGCCTCCTCTGTGTCATTGTGAAGTACAGACTTTTAAAATTAATTTCAGTGTGGACAAACTGCATTCTCTACTGGCAACTTTTGAAAATTGTTACAGGTATGCACAGAGCAATAAAAGCCTTTAGAAAGAGGTCATCTTATAGATATTCCCGAACAGGCTTTGGAGTTGATCCTTCTGCAAAGTGCCCATAGAAGAGTCTAGAGATAAGTTTGGAAAAGATAGGTGAAGAACATTAACAAAACAAGAGCTCAGTCTGGAAAAAAAAGAAAGTGTGTAAAAGAAATTTAACATTGCCCCACCTTGACTGTCTTTGTAATGAGGGAAAAACACTGTCAGGCCTTCAAGATTCTGTTGTTATAGCCTACATCAATAAAGACGAGTTCTAGTATTTCTTTTGGTATCTGTTTCTTGACCTGGTCTATCTCAAAGAGCAAACATCAAACTTGAAATATCTTTTCCAAGGTCATCTCTGTGCTCCACTATAGTATCTTGAAAAGTCTTCAGTTCACTCAGATTACTTGCATCCATAGCACAGGTGACATCATATATCAACACTGTCTCTACTGTCCTGTATTGTTGATGCAGATCTTCGTCCAGTATAATGAAGAGTTGTTAAATATCATACAACATCCCAAATATGCTCCTTTGTTCCTTGACTTGCATGAAATGTTCAATTGATACTATTGCACAATTTTGCACTTGGTTAAGAATTCCATTTTGAATGGTTTGGGGTCTCTTATCCTGTACCTCATCATCAAAATGTTTTCTTCAACAATTCTTGATAGGTTGGAAAACTGCTTCAGTGAGAACTTTCTTTGCCAATTTCCACGCACCCTCCAGAATGTTTTCGAATTCCTCATCTGATTTTTAGAATGTGATTTGTCTGGTGGTTCCATTGCTGTGATAGATTGAGGTCGATATCTTGGAGCCTCTTGCTTACATTTAGTTCAGTCAGTGTGTCATGTTACAGCCCTAAGTCCCACAGAAATGTGAAGTTATGCAAGTTTCTGGAGACTTCATTTTCTGCTGCCTACAGACCATTTCTCGTCAAAGCTTTATCCTCCATAAGGGTAACTATAGCATCCTCAGTTTTCCAAATTTGGTGTTTGATGTGCTTTGCCACCTCTACTTCAGTGTCCCATTGTGCTGAACTCAATGTTCTTCATGTCCGAGAGAATATTCCCAGATGTGGCTTCAAAATTTGCCACCAATCACTGATGCAGAAAAAAGCATGAAGGTAGTTTGAATTACATTTAAAAACTTAACTGCTTCGCTTGAAATGAATGCAGCATTACTGGTCACCAAGTTCAGGGAATGGTGGTGGTGGTAGTGGGAGCTCAAGGATTTAGGTCTCAGATCGATTGTCTACACTATGTTGTCCTTTCCTTTCATTTTGGCACTACTGACGATGATGATGACATGCCACCAAGTTGGTGACCACAAAGTTAGATTCTCTCCATGAGTTGGAGAGGGACAATTGGCTCAAAAGGGAGAGAGAAGGAAGAGAAGAGAAATGAAGATATAAAGCAATGCGGAGACCACTTAGAAGTAGTAATCGCAAGACGGTCCAATAATTTCTTTCCTTTACCACCCCTGTTCCTGCGGAGAATAACTCATACCACGTAACAGCTTCAAGTTCAGGATTACCTAGCATTATAGATTCCTTACTGAAATCTGTGTGGTTTTTGCTTCCTTGGTCTTGCCAAATGCACGGGGCTTGACACACAGTATCAGTTCTGTCGGGACCTTAATAATGTCAGTTCTTAAACTGTCATGCACCTTTGAAAGCATATTGATCAGACTAACAAATGGCCCAGGAAGGGTTCATGGCTCTGACAACATTACTTTATGCAGATACTGTTTTGTAACATTTGCCATTATTTTACCAAGACTTAGGACTAAGTGCAGATGGTGAGTTGAGGA